AAGCAAAAGAGTTATTAACGATTAAACGGTGTGCACATTTTGAAAGATAAATTGTATAGCCGTTTCCCCGATTTTCTCCGCCTTCGAAAGTCGAGAAATAATATGAGGTCAGGTGCCAGAATTAGAATCTCGCCTTATTTACCGATATCATCTGCCTGGATCTTTTTCTCAAGCACCACCTCTTGTAAAAGTCATAAACTTGTGGTCATACGTCAAAAAATTCACAACATAAAATTATCTATCCAGGCAATATCTTCTCCTCACTTTCTAGCTATAAAAAATTGGGCAGATGTGTTATGAATGCTTGCTGTTGAAAGTCCATGCGTGCACTTAGGGGTTATAGGATCTTCCTTGATGAGAAAGTACATTTGCAATGTTTTGGGCTTTGACTTTCACGTGGAACAAGCTTCAGGCAATTGCCCGAAAACCATTTCGTGAAATTTGCTTACTTCAATGAAAGTACCTCAACACTGTCTAAAAACAAGCGAAACATACGACTTGTTGTGGTGAAAGGTTCCGCAATAAAACAAAAGTGCTTCTCTTTATTTCTCTTTTATTTGTATAAACCAGATGAAGGCCCGTAGTAAAGCTGCCTCTTTGATCTCAACTGAGGAAAGCTTCAGTTGAAGCTTCGACGAGTCTTTGCCCCAGTTGAGCCATTGATTGATAATTCCAACTATCCACATTGACATGATTGAGTAAGCTACGTTCATGCAGGTATACAAGTCAGAACCCGTTCGCCAAACATTCACAGCTTTGTGATTGGTACTAGCATAACTCACACAAATTTCTGGGTCACGTCTCGAGAATTATGTTATGCTCATTCAGAAAATAGCAGAAGGCAAAATGACGGATTTTGGATGCGCAATTTATGGCTACTACCAAGGCTATAAGGATTTGATCATTTGTGCAGTCGATAATCCGATAAATGTAACCGTACCTTCGACAGATTAGAGATCTCAACAGTAAAGGTGTTTGAATATCTGTCCCTTAAAAAATGTGATATTTGTTTATAGAAAATCAGAGAAGAAAAAAGTTGCAAAGCCGTTAGCAAACGCAAAAGAAACTTTCAAAAACTGGATAAAAGAGCTGCAATGAATTTGAAATCTTTCATTCGGCGGCATTCGAATTGCAAGTTTTCGCTTCGGGACCAGGCGATCCACAACACGGAGAAACGAGAAAAAGCAAATTTTTCTCTTGTGGTTGTTTCATAAACAACCATGTTTTGGAAGTGATGTTCACCAAGAAGAATACAAACAAGAAAAGAATCAAAATTCAAAACGCAAAGTATTGTTTTTACCCGCTTGGAATGCACGTCAGAACCAAATCTAGTTTTTGATTCCTTTAACTTACTTCCGCATTGTCTTGTTTCCTGCATCATTGTCTGAATTGTTGCGCTCGTTATACTGAGTAACAATGTCCAACTAAGATAAAATCGCAGCTAAAACACTGAAAAACAACAAGGTGAAGAAAAAGCACTTTTTACAATCTCTTACAAAAATGTCCGCCATAATCGAGGAAATATCGGCGACGTTGTCTACAGTGATTGAGAGAAGCATGATCTATACATAGAATGCGCAAAAAACGCGTGAAAAGAACTGAACTGAAGAAAAAAAATTACTTACTTACTTAGATTTACTTAGATGGCAGGTCCTTGCACGTCGTGCGGGCCCCAAGTTTTGACCATTCGTTAAGGTCTCGTGCAATCGTCATCCATGATCGTCTTGGTACGCGGTTGCGATTGCGGCTGGACGATCCTGAATTTAACTCCAATTGCTGACGCAGTTGGTTCACACGGACAACAGATTCGTCACACCACGTCTTCGGTAGTCTTGCGCATGAACGTTTCGAGATCGACTTGAAATCCATTCCAACGTTCTTTCTGTCCATCTGTCTGTCTTCTCTTCTCAATATAAGACCGGTCTATCTGTGCTTATTCTTCGATACGTACTATGCTGGATTTTCTAGACGCGATAGTTGTCTGAGGTCGGAGCTTCGGATTCCAAGTCGATACTTTCTGAACTTGGACATCTTCAGAAGTTTCCTTCCTTTCGAGTGCCCTGTGTGCCGTTCGTAGTGCCTTCATGGTGTTTCGGCTGCGTTTCACAAGGTCGGGAGAACTGTCGCATTGAAAAGTTTAGCGCGCAATCCGGATCAGCAAGGTCATCTGTAGCCTCTCTCAGAAGATCGAATGCTGCCCAAGCTGCTCACTGTCTTCGGCTGAGTTCATCCTTCAGGTCGTTGTACATATCGATGGCACGTTCAAGGTAAACATAAGATAGGTCTCCTCTATCGGTGCTCCATCCAAAAATAATTGACCTTCACTTCACCAGTTGTTTCTCCTAAACTGCATCTTCTTTCGGTTTATCATCAGCCCAATCCTTCTGCTTTCGTTCAGTTCGTTCAGCATCTTTTCGGCTTCGCTAATAGACTTTGAAAACGAAACGATATTGTCTGGGAAAAGGAGATTCAAAAGGTACTTTCCATCCACACAAACCCCTTCGTTTCTCAATCGAGCGACTGTATGCACCATTGCAGTACAGCGGTAAAACAGCTTTGGCGACAACGTGTCGCCCTGTCGGATTCCTTTTTCCAATGCGGATGTGGAACGGGTGGTCAAACAGCTCTATCGTGCTGGTACACTTTTTGTTGCAGTTCGCTATAGTCCTTACGTATGTTGGTCCACGGCTCGGTCGAGTCGACCAGAGCAGCTGAAACGGCGTTGATTTCCACACTATCGAAGGCCTTTTCGTAATCGACAAAGGTGAGGAGTAGGAGCAATTGCTATTCACGGCAAACCTCCACTTCTTGACGGTTTGGATGTGATCTATGCAGCTGAATCCTCTTCGGAATCCGGCTTTATTCGGTTGTGCTTCATCCAGTATCATTGAAATACGCGACATGAGGATTTTCGAGAATAGCTTGTGAAGCACACTTAGCAAGCTGGTGTCAGTTAATTCTTGAAGGCATTGTCCAGGCACAAAGTCGATTTTGAGAACTTGTGATTACCTGGGCCTATTCGCTACGCTGAATCAGAAAATCCACACCGGAGAGCTCAAGACTGGCGAAAAAAGTTTTAACGGAGGAGGGAACGCAGTTGGGCAGAGCCGTTCACGCTGTGACGCCACTTTCCCAGCTTCGGGAGCGATCTTCTTGCTTCCGCCAGTAACCCTAACATCGCCACCAGCCAACTGCGAAACGCTTGACATAAAATCGAAACCGAAAAGGTCCTGAAGCAGGGAGAGTGACATCACAGTGTGAACAGTTTCGCCCACCTGCAATTTTCCTCCTGCTTAAGAGCTTTTTTTCGCCGTTTTTGCGCTCTCCAGTGTGGATTTTTGGATTCAGCATAGCAAATAGGCCTGGGTAAGCACAAAATCTCAAAATAAACTTTTTCCTTGGACACTGCCTTTAAGGTCTTCTCTTCCGCCTTTCTTGTGAAAAATAATAGTGCAGTATGCCCTTCACTGGTTGGGTTTTCTTTCCTTTTCCAGATAGCGTGTCATATGAGTTGCCGGAAGAGTGTGTAACTTGTGTCCGCCTGCTCTCATTAGGTTGGCGGTGATCCCGTCAGGGCCAAGAGCTGTGCCGGTTTCATAAACTCTTGGCCGAGCGTACGTCCGAAGGAAGAATACTCTGTGGTACTCACCAGGGCCCGGCACGAGCTTGTCAAATGACAAGCTGGAAATCGTTTTCGGCAAAAAAAAAGCAAAGGGGATATCGTTTTTGCGGGGTCCGGGGCGGAGCCCCGGGAAAAAAAATTGGTAGTTCATGCTCGCTGCTTATCTTAACATGTTATGTGCCTCAACATGCGAAGACTGGAGTTCGCGCGCGTCAAACCGCGCCGTCGCTAATTGCCGCACGCGCGACGTCGCTCAAACGAGCTATTTGTAACGGCATACATGACTAGTTCTCAATGTACGCGTCACGGTATGACACCAGATTTTGTAGGCGAACGGAGAGAGGCTAGTGGAAACAAATTATGAAAATTTATGAAAAACTTATGTGAACGGGACGAGTAATAAGCATTTTTTCCAAAGATTTTGCAAAATTGGTAAATGAAGTTGTAAATTCAAATGGCTCGTTTGCAACGCGCAGATGACGATATGGTATGAAACTTGGTACGCACGTGGACACAAGCCTGTAGGAGCTAACTTAGGAGTTTTATTGAAAAATTATGTGACTGAAGGTTGTGGCAAAGTTTTTTCTGAAAATTTCCCGCTACCAAAGAAATGGAAAAATGGCTCGTTTGCAACGCAGAGGCGACGAAATCGCGCGGGATTCGGTGTGTATATGCGCAGTAGGACTAAGTAACAAAGTATGAAAAAATATGAAAAACTTATGTGAATGAAGAGTTTCCCCAACTTATTTCCAAATTAGCTTGTCATTTGACAAGCTAATGACAAGCTGAGCTTCGCAAAATTCTCAATTCACATAATTTTTCCAAAATATTTACATAAATCTACTCTACGCCTAAAGATTAGTACATAGTGAAAATTTGGTTCCAAACCTCCTCCTCTCCTCATTGCTACAGGCAAAAATAGTCTCAGCAGCCCGTTTCCTAAGGAGGAAAGCGTGCTCCAATCGAACGGCGTATTGCTGAGTGCTTTCGCGTCGGCGTCTACACTTCATCACTTACCTTTTGCTGCTTTTTACTTTCTAACTTTTCTTTTTCTTTCCTTTGTCACTTCGTTTCTCTAGATCTCAACTTTTTCCATTCAGTAAAGTATTTTTGCTACATTTTGCCGCATTACCCGTCAGGCAAATTGAAAATTTCGGCTTTACGATGTCTTTCCTGTCTTAATTTGCTCTTCCTAACCCCTTCGTCCGTCTTGTTTGGAATCAAAAATATTTTGTGTACTATATGTCATCGTATCCATCCATTCATTTTCCTGTCAGTTCACTTGCATGGATATAGAATACATAATGTTTTGGTTGGTTTGTTGGCCGTATCAATTGTTGTTGCCTCTATGTTCAGATATACATTAATTTTGATTTAGGTGCTTGGTTCAATTTTGGGTGCTTTGAAATCCATTTGCAACGTAATTGGAATGACAAAGATGACCCCAGCTATCAAAGATCTCTTGCCCAGGTTTGGATTCCCATTTCTCCCCCTCGAATGTCCAATGAAAAAAGCTTCTGACAGGGTGACACCCATATTGAAGAATCGTCACGAAAAAGTACAAGAAAACTGCATTGACCTCGTCGGCGCAATCGCCGATCGTGGATCAGAGTTTGTGTCGGCTCGTGAATGGATGCGCATCTGCTTTGAACTTTTCGAATTGCTAAGGCACATAAGAAGAGTATACGACGGGCTGCGATCAATACTTTTGGATTCATTGCGAAGGTGCGTTCTTATCTTGATTGGAATTTTTCTGTTTTTGGAAGGGTTAGAAAATTTACTTCTAGGCCATCGGTCCCCATGACGTTCTAGGCGACTTTGTTGAACAACTTGAAAGTGCAGGAGCGACAACTGCATGTTTGCACTACCGTAGCTATCGCCATTGTCGCGGAAACCTGTGCACCATTCACAGTGCTACCGGCTATTATGAATGAGTACCGAGTACCGGAGATGAACGTGCAGAATGGAGTCTTGAAAAGCTTTGTCGTTCATGTTTGAGGTGAGTGACTGAGAATTCTGCCTTATGTTGTTTTTATGTGTAGATTTGCTGCTTCGTATCCTCTTTTTTCCACCTTTCATCATACATGTATTATTTGTCTTTAACAAACATTGTTGCCACGCAAACGGTAGGTTTTGGGAGAAATCTATCATATAGGGATTAAATAAGGGACTCAAGTAAAACATCCTAGCTTTTTTTTTGTTCTTTAGGTTATTCTATTTTAGTATAGTGGTGAAATGGCTAAAGACTACATCTACGCCGTCACGCCATTCCTTGTTGACGCTATGATGGAGCGAGATCAAGTGCACAGGCAAATTGCTATCGATGCAGTTGCGCATCTCTTACTAGTAAGCTGACAACCGCCTTTACCTGTATAGCACTGAGTGATAAATGTAACATCTTCAGGTGTATATGAGTTTGGTTGTGAAGACGCGTTGTTGCATCTGTTGAATTACGTATGGCCAAATATGTTAGAAAAGTCCCCTCATCTCATTCAACGATATATATTTGCTTGTGAAGGAATGCGCGTTTCTTTGGGACCCATCAAGGTTTGTGAATATGGCTGAGCTTTGCTTTCTTATAGAAATGAGTTGAGTATTACAGGTTCTCCAGTATCGCTTACAAGCTTTGTGGCATCCAGCTCGCAAAGTGAGGGAACCGGTGTGGAAGGTTTGTAATCAGGTCTTTGGTTACACAAATCATGCTTGTAATAGGAATAGTTTTATATTTGCTAGATTTTTTTCACTGACGATGGTAGCGTGAAACAAGCAACTTGCACGTAGGTTCACCTGAAAACTGGTTGTGGGGCCCTAACTAGTGCAGTATCGAAGAGCGACACCGGAAATTCGTAATGGGCTAAAATTTCATCTCCAGACCCCTGCCCAGCACTGTATCTGGCGGGCGTTGGTCGGTTTGCCTGCTTTCGCACTGTGCGATGCCTATGCAAGTCGCCCGCCAGCTGCCATGTACTGGGAACACATATGGAGATGTTCTTGCCCATGGTTGAAACATTAACGTTGCCGCTCCAGTAATGCCGTAGTCAAGGCCCCACAATCAGTTCACACGTGAAAGCCCCGTTTGCAAAGACTTGAAAGCGCTTTTGGGAAGTATTCGGAGGGCATTACCTGATCTATACGTGTATATGGAACTTCTAATTATACAATCTATATTCATGCACATTGGTGTAACGTCGCAAATCTGCACTCAGTGATCAATTTTTCACGCGCGTTTGTCAAAATCACCACTATATCACCTGTGAAATCAACTCCTGGGTTATTACCTGTGAACAAAACATCAACCTCCGAACATTGGGGCAGTTTTTCGCTCTTTCTCATTCTAGATTGTGTAACTTTGAAAACAAAGAGATATTATTGGCTTTTTTCTCATTTTCTCCAATTACTTGAACTTTTCCTCCAGTATTCTCCTGTTCGATTACTTTTTTGTTTGCATTTATGTCTTCAGGTTGGTCTAATCGAACCTGGACAATTCCGCGCCACTGACGAACTTGTCCGAAATTAAAGCCGAGGCCATGAAAGGCTTAAAACTCTCAGCCTGAAGGACGTACATGACGGGGAGTCGGAAAGTTTCATAAATGGTTCGCCTCTCACTTGCCTTGTTCTGCCGTTTCAGACCTTTTTTCTCTTTTCCGGGTAGAAGTTCCAGAAATTGCGAGCATATGAATGGTACGAATCCCCCCCCCCCCTACCAGCTGCCGGTGCAAATTAATTTTCATTGACCTCACTCCAGTGATCTCTAATGTGATCTCATTTTTTTTGGTTTTTTTGTCATAAATGAATTGTTTCTGTTTTTTTCTTCAATAAAAATGGTTCTTTGGGTAAAATATTCACTGCAGAATCACTGGGATCAATTTTTGGGTCAAAGGGGAATTCGTTTCCGAAAACCCCTTTTGACAAGCTCGTGCCGGGCCCTGGTACTCACCTGTGGGGATGATAGGGTCTGGTACCGGCGTCGTAAATCAAAAAAGTTCGTTATAGAAATCGCTTCTTATCGCTTCTATTTCGCGTCGGGTGTTCACTCTTCCGTCCTTATTCAGTAAAGCTTGCATTGGTATCTCGTGCTCGCGAAGGTCCCTATGACACCTCTTCAGAATTCTCCTGTTCTTTGCTGCTTCCATTATCTTCATTTGTCGATAACGCTTTAGATCCTCTTGCACAGCTTTCCTGCAAATGCCGTTGAGGAGTACTTGCTAGTACTTGCTCGAGATGCGATGCACTTAAATCTGCGTACATGATTCTCTTTTTTAGAGAAGCTCTCAGGTGTTGTTCGTCAGCCGTCACGAACCCCTTTCCACAATAAAAACTGCCTGCTCTGCACGGTTGCGTACTCCTTCAGTCATCTTTTCTAGATCTTCTGTTGGATCTTCGCGTTCCTTCTAGTTATATCTAGAAATGGCGAGAATGCGTTTGTCGTATACGGCTTCTCTTCTAGACTTCGCATGGCATGATATTCTTTTCATTTTCCAATTAGAGCGGATTTCTACGAAGTAAACGGTGGTCCGAACTTGCACAGAACGACGGAACCATCCGACATCGATCGAACTCCATTTCTTGGAGTTGATTTTTTTGACAAGAATATGATCGATTTCTGCATGTGCCGTTCCGTTCGGTGGCTCCCACGTCCAGCTGCGGTGTTCTTTCTTTTGGTAAAACGAATTATAGAATAGACGAGTCGCTTCCGTGAGTCCAATGAGTCTGTCTCCATTCTCCTTCCGATTCCAGTCCAAATTTTCCAATTCTGTCGCCTTGCTGGTGTTGTGACTGTTCTATCCTTACATTGAAGTCGCCAACGGAGGACTTGTAGAGCGAGTTCTTGCGAATGGCGTCTTCCAGCTTCTCATAGAACTTGTCGAGTTCGGATTCATCTGCTGCATCTGTAGACGAATAACAGTTGATGATGCTGATCTTCTTCCGTCCTGGGGAAACAAGTCTTAGGACTGCTAGTAGCAGCGACAGGTCTTCATAAGAGTCGACAAGGTGGCTAAGGGTTTGGTTACGACAAATTCCATGCCAATAAAACACTTTCTCCTAGTATAATAAGAGTTCCATCCTTCTTTTTAAGCGTAGTCGAACTTCTGTTCTTTGCAAAGCAATCACATCGTATTCGATGCGGCTTGCCGCGTTTAGGAGAACAAAGAGCTCGTGGGCTGAAGCTAAGTTTCTTGCATTGTATGTGCACAATCGAAAACAGCCTCCGTGTCTAATTGAATCCGTTTTGTTGCCGATAGGATCAATGAACGTCTCGCTTTTGCACTGAGATTTGTTCGCCCCTCACCGATCGTACTACCATCCGACGGGGTCTCATCTGAAAAGGCCACTTCGACTAGACACGCTTCACTTGTAAGCCTAAACGTGTTAATTTCTACCTAACATGTGGCAGGGTGGCAGTTCTTATGGGATCTATGGAAAAAACTTAGGCTAAAGCACGTATTTTATGAGAACATGAAAAATTGGGTCTGTTACGAAAAAGAACCAATTTTTTTTTCAAAAAGTCTTCATCTTTACGAAGTCGTGAGTACCATTCAAAGGAAGAAGGAAGTGATTATTTTGAATTATAGCTGAAAGCAACCAAGATGTTTCAAAACGGTTCAAACACCAAAAAACCTTCCAAGTTTGAAACTTCCAAAACTCGTTCATGAACACTGACTTAGCAATGCAATTGGTGTTTAGAGCTTGGAATATAGAATTTCAAATTTTCGGGGTACATCTTGGGGTGCGCTTATAAAGCGATGAGTAATACGATGATTTGGCCCCAAGAATTTAAGATAAAAAATTTTCAGAACGGGGAGAACGATCTGCGTCGAATGACACCCTAGGTACTCGCTTGTTGATATTCTATGAGGTTTGGCATGACCAAATACGGACTTGGTCATCGAAAATCATTTTAAAAATTCTGAAAATCCAGATGTGAACGCCAAAAAATGCATTCTCGCACTCTTTTCTATCTCACACTCTAATTAGTAAGTTTATCACACTTCACGCCAAAATTTTCTTTCAGAAAAAATGTCTCTGCCACTAAGCACCTCCACAACTTCATCAAGCAAGCTTATAAGGGAATGATCAGAAATAGAAGTGGCCAATCCAGACAAGCTGCATACCATTAGATGCAGCATGACGCGCTGACTCTAAATCTGCCTTCCTTACCTGCTTATCGCTTTTCTGGATAAAGCTAGAAGCCATTAAATACCATTATTTTGCTAAGAAATCATGAGTAAAATTGAAAATTTAGCCGTACAGAGCCACGTTGGCCTTAATGTTGGGCGAAAACATGCAGCTAGCTTACTTCAAATTTTTAAAGCGAGAAGCTGAACTAAAAGTGAAACAATGTGCTCAATTTCGCTGTTTTTGTTTGTTGATTGTTTGTACGATTTTTTCACAATAAAAGGCTTGTGTCTTCGTCTACAGAAGCGATAAGCAGGTAAGAAAACAGATTCGAACTCAGCGTTTTATACTGCAACGAATGATATACAGCTTGTTTGGTTTGGCCACTTCGACTTCTGACCATTTCCTTGTTGGGTTATTATTAGGTCAATTTTATTCCACTTCATTTGAGTTTACAATTCATAAGGCCTTCCCACACTACTGAAAATAACCAGGGAAGACCGTACTACTGTTATTCCAATTTCCTTCTACTGTCTAGAATCAAAACGGAAATTGGATAATTGTAATTTTATTGCTTTATTTTGATTTTGTTTTCAGTGTATGCGACTTGTTTACTTTATCCAATTATGATCAAAGCTATTCCAAAGGTAATAAGAAATAGCTAGGATAAGGGTACGTCAAAATTATGGGTCGTAGACCCTGACGATTACTGAGCGAACATCAAAGGATTCAGAACAGAAACAACACTAGAAGGTGGAAGAAACTCTATAATGAACTCTCCTTAGAAAGATCGTCTGTCTTGATCCTGAACGTTCCTAGTATAAGTCTCAAAACGGAACTTTTTGGACCAATCTAATGTTCCTGAAAAAACTGAGCCGAGAAATCTCGACTCGGACTTGATTGGTCGCCGAGCTGTAATAAAGCTTTAGAAAAAGAGCGATTTTTGATTTGTAAATGCGAAAGCACCTACTACAACTAATAATGATAAAAGGTAACTTTGCCTCTTTGATTTTGTCGCAGAAGTGGGTACTTTCAAAACATCTTTATACTTCGGTGGAAAAATCCGTTATGTTCCAAGCTTCACCCACTGCGCAACTGACCATCGCCCACACAATGAGTATCAATATCAAACAGTTTATGAGTGAGGTGTGCTGTCCAAAAGGAAAGGGTTGCAGAAGAAAGTTTGCTTTTTTGAAGTAAGAAATGTTTCTTGCATTGTTCACGATCACAAAAAAAACATGTAATGGCTAGAAGTTTGTTTGCAATAGTTTCCGACAAGCTCAAAAAGATGATTTCAGAAAAAAATCATTTGAAGCGAATACCAGACATGCATTACATGAACCAGCATACAAAAAGCAGGAAAAAGCTTGCGCACAAACTGTTTTTGTAAGGAGCTCCAGCGTTTGGGAAGACTGTTGATGGGGTGTGTTGCTTGTAACATTTCACGATGACTGGTATTTAAACTTATTTTTCTAGTAATGGAACAACTTGGATTGAATGGAACGTGCATTTTGCGTTATGCCAGAAGCATATGGATCATAGCTGTTTTATGGCATATCGGTTGTAAAACATGATGACATAGTCACAAACAGTCTTAGGGAGCTTCCAGACCGCGCCGGCTGTCGCTTTTGCAGCCGTTAGCCGCTTTCGCGCTGGCTGCCGCTATTGCAGCCGAAGCGTAATTGGTCAAGCCATTGCCTACCTAGCGCGCGTGTGGCTCGAAAACTCATGAAATTAACCTATATTTCTATTTTTTTTTATCTGTTTTCTAATTTGTCTGTTATAGGTTGGTTTCGAGGTACGACTTTTTAGATAATGGCTGCTCGAATACTTGAAACATCACCGTTAAAGGCATATGCGTTGAATTTTGCCTCATTGAGCTGGAGTTTACAAAGAGACTCGTTCATTCCTTTTTTCCACTTTTTGTTGAGCTCTTTTGTGCTTTTTGTGAATGATGCGGTTTGAAAATCTGCATGCAATACTGAAAAGCATTGCATGCAGATTTTGATCATGATCCATGATGAGGCATGGACGCAAGCATGGAAAACGGCAACACTTACAACATATATAACGCATGAGCGTAAATACGTTGATTACTCCATGTGCTTCTTGCTATTTATCTTTTTGTTTTCATGGTAAGTTCAGGTTTCATTTTTGATGTGGGTGATGCGGTTTCTCCATGCCTACTCCATGCATCATCACGGATTTGCACAAATGCGCTTCAATATTGCACCCAGCTTTTCAACCGCATTAGTCACAAAAGCATGGAGCTTGAGCATAACAAAATTTGAAAAAAAACGCAATGAGCGGTCCGCTCTGTGAACTTCAGCTGAACATTGGCAAGACATAGCGCATCTGCGCTCAACGATGATGTTTCAAGCCTTCAAGCAACCATTGCCC